TCTCCACGCTGGAGGGTGGTGAGGGCAGTGGAGCTCCAGGGGACTGAGACGCCTGTGACCTTCGGGACCTGCAGACCTGGGGTCCCACTGCAGAGGGTTTGCCCTGTTCCATCCATGGCGACCTCAAATCACAGCACCATCAATCACAGCTGGAAAAGACCTCCAAGATCACCGAGTATAACCATCAACCCAAAAAAAACCCCACCATGCCCGCCAGAGCCTGTCCTGAAGTGCCACCTCTACACGTTTTTTGGATGCCTCCAGTGATGGTGACTCAGCCCCCCAGCTCTGCCCAAGATGGGGGACCCTGGCTGCAAGGGGGGCTGGGGCTGACCCCTGGGAGCTGCCCCAGGCAGACGTGGGTATTTGAACACTGCCCATCTCGACTGTCAGGAAGGCACTTGGCTCTCCAGGCAGACAAATCCCCATTCCCTGCTGAGTGCTGTGACAGCAGCTCATGGGGGGTGAGGCCCCACCAGGTGCTCCCGCAGCCGGGCAGGGCAGGAGAAGCCCCCTGGGAGGAGCACTGGGCATGGGGCTGCTGGAGACATGCCCATCACCTCTTGAAACAGGGCAACAGCACACAGAAACCTCAGTGTAGGAAAAAATCTGCTCTTTTCGGTGATTTGGCTGAAGAAGTTGAGCTAAAAAGTAAATAAAAGCTCCAATTAGATTTATATAAGCATAATTAACCTCAGCTTTTTTAGAACAACACTTACCCATAGGAACCTTCTTTAGCTCAGCCCTGAAGGAGCAGCTGGTGCTGGTCTCTGGAAAGGTGTTTCCACTGAAACACACCAGCACTTCATGAATACTTGTTTTTGCACCTCTAGATTTTTCCCTCTGGGGCTTTTAAGCAAGTTTTATTGTAGTGTTTATATAGCCACCTCAGTCTGCCTTTGGTTTATGTTTTTCTCACCTGAAGCCACTGAATTTTGAGTCTTATTAGTTACAGGTATCTGAAATCACATTATGTTAAGAGCTGGCTGTGCTAACATACCCCCTTAAAAGTTTCTACTTAGGGCAATTGTCTTCTGCCCAGGTATCAAATTCTTACTGAGTTATACCCAAGATCAACAACTTTTCTATGGCTGTTTGTTGCCATGAAGGGAAATAATAAGAATCCTATTGATTACAACAAGGCAGGACCAAGTCAATTCATTGGAGAAATAGCCAAGAAACAGTTGTTTGTTTATTTCTTGAAAAACATTGTAAAGGAGGATGCAGCTTAGCTTTTCTTCTAGAGAACCACACAAATGGCAGCCTGATCACCATCAATCCAACCTTCCACCTCTTGAGCTGGAGCAAAGCACCCTCTTCCAGGCTGGGGGGGAAAAATCCTGCAGAAGAGAACTGCTCTCATGCTCCAAAGATGTGCTGGAAGAGCTTACAAGAGCTTATTTCTTCCCCCTTTAAGGACTTCCCTACCAAGCAGTGCAGAGGGCAGAGCTGGCCCCAGCCCCACAGCAGCCAGCTCTCACCCTGTGCCATGGGAGCAGCTGTCCTTAAACAGTCTCTGCCTTACCACTGGCAAAACCCTCCCAAGTCACAAACACAGGCCCTTTCCCTTCCTCGAATATTTCTTTACAAAAATAAAATTCAAAAGGGACCACAAATAAAACAGCACTGCAAATATTTGCAGATTCAGATCAGTTAAGCTTTGAAAAACTTCATCTTGCAAAACTCCAGCTGCACTGTGGTTTCCCCCGTCACTGGTTATTCTCTCCCCACTGATGGGCCCTACCCTCCCTCCTCCCTCCCTTGCACCCCAGCTGGATCTGGAGGCTGGTGCCTTCACCCCTCGGCTGCTGGTGGGTGCCAGACCCCAGCTCCAGCCCAGGGCCAGGGCTCCAGCACAGCCACCCTGCCCTGCCACACCAATATTCATTTCTCCTCCATGAAAGAGTTTGTTTTCACAGTGCTTCCTCCCCCAGACAGTCTCCAGGATACACAGGGGTGAGTGCACTAAACCTGCTCAGTGTTTCACCTGCAAGCAGGGGGGACAGTGGCATAGTCTGCCCCGAAACAGCAGCAGCTCCCACCTCCCTCCCCCTGGCAGAAGCCCTCACCCTTCAGCAGCTCCTGCCCTTCCCTGGGAAGCACGCCTGCCACGCCAGCCAGGAAGGGAATGAAAGCAAGACTGGGCAGACTTTCCTATCCAGAAAAAGTTTATTTAAAGTTTTAGGAACATTTTTCATGTATTGTCAGTCATATTACACTGAACACTGGAGTTCAAATCACAGCTGAATGCTCAAGCAGGAGACACAAAGTCCTTGTTCTCACCACCTCTGGCCACGGAGAGGAGGACCTCAAGATGCCCACCCTGGTGCTTGGCAGGTGCAGTGAGATCTGCCCTGCCTGGGGCTGTTGGAAAGTCCCTCACCCTGCCCATCCATCTGCAGAGAGCAAACCTGGGACCAGCAGCTTCAGCACAGCTTTTGCCCACGGCCTGTCCCTGTCAGACACAGTCACCCTGTGAACACCACTGGTTTTATCCATGGTCTGGACAGACTCTCTCTATAGTGCTTCCCGATGGCTCTGCCAGACAGACCAGCATATCCCTGAACATTATCTTTCTTGAACACCAGAGCTCCTGCTCTGCAGGAGGCAGCTGCAGTAGCCTCCTTCGTTCCAGACAATAAACCAGAGCAAAACACAGCATCATGTCTTCACTTGGGGTGAGGAGCTTTTCATGCTTACATTGAAGTTAAATTTTAATTTCAAGACTAAACTCACCTATGCTTTGAGCTGGTAGATGCATTCATTTCACACTTTCACTCCTGACACTTGAGAGACACAGGATTTTGTTAAGCTGTTTAATTGCAGTGAATTTTTTAGCAGACAGTGCTTTACAAGCTGCAGAAACACCTGAAAGGCTCAAGTAGATGCCAGCAGCCCAAAGATCCTGAAGCAAGCACAGGTATGCTGAAACAGGGACTGCAGAGAACAGAAACCACCACTTTGAGATCTCAGTATCAAACCCCAAACCAGAACATGCTACACGGAGCGTCCGCACTTTGGGCTGCCTCGACATTGCTGGGTTAGAACAAAGGTGTGGCTTTAAAAATAATTACAGAGATGTAAAGGCATTTCCCCTGTGACAAAATGAAGCAGAGGCAATAAAGCTAAGCACTGTACTGTTCTCGCTTTACTTATAACCAAAGTGCCTGTAGCCAAGGGAGCTTTACTATTACTAGCACAAGCTCAGGTCTACACACGCTCTCTGGACTTGCAGCATCTGACTGTGTCACAGAAGAAACATCCCAGGCACTCAAAGTCTCCACTGAACAACCAAAGATGGATGCATGAGCCCAGGAGTGTGTGCTCCATGACACCCAGGACACAGCTCCAACCTCCCACCACTGTGGCTGTCACCTCTGGATTTCCCTGCCCTGCTCCAGTTCCAAAGGCAGCATTTCATTCCCTCTCTTTAAACATCCTGGTGCTTCCAGGAACATCAACTATGCCCCAACACAGGGCTGGACAAAGCATAGGAGGTGCCTGCCCACCACAGGGACCTCACCTGCTCAAGGACAGGGATGGCCTTGGCCAGCAGTGGAGTGGGACATCCCCAGCAGGGGCTGTGGTGGGGCAGAGACCGCCCGGGCTCGCAGGTCCAACCCTGCTGCAGATCAGCTCCCCCCAACTCTCATTTACAACGTAGTTTGTCCTAAGCAACCAAACACCTGCAGCAGCTTCAGAGGGAAACCCACATCCTCTGCAGCAGAGAGAAAATCCAGCACATGTGAGCTCCCTGCACGCTCACCTCTGCAAAAAATATTCCAGTTCTCTGGCAAATAATGTAGACATTTAATCAGGAAAAAAAGACAGAGCACACAGACATCTGCCAGCCTGGACTGAGATGTTCAGTGACTGCCAGAAGCACTGCACGACTTAAGGAATAAATACTATCGGTGGAGACCCAGTGCTGGATCCTGGGATGGTGCCACCTCTGTCAGATCCAAGAGGTGACAGGGACCTTCCCTAGGGACAAGGGGCTGCGGGATGCAGAGCGGGGCAGAGCCCTGGGCAAGGCTGCTGCCAGCTCCAAGGAGAAGGTACAGCTCCCGGGTCCTTGGAAGGGGGTCACTGATGTGTTTTAGGGAATTACCTTGCAGAATCAGCACAACACCCCCCAAGACAGCTGGAAAGCTGTTTTCCATAAAACTCCTGGTCAAACTAAGCCAAAATAAAGGCCCACACTTTACATGCTGAACAACCTCCCAGGCAGCAGGGGAACACAATGCTGCTCTGTGGAAACAAGCTGCTCTGGGACAGGCAGCCAGAGGCAGCTGGAGGCTGTGAGCAGCTCCCTGGGACCTGCTGGGAATGCTTCTGCATTCCTGTGTCAGGCCTAAAGCTCCCAGGGCTGAACCAGGGGCAGAGCTGCACCCTTCCCATCTCACCAGGGTTAAACCAATCGCCCTCTGGGCCAACTTGTTATTTTTACATTATTGTACACTTCAGAGGAGAAAGCTACAGCTACACATTGCTGCAATTTTATATCATTTCCTTCAGAAAATAATCACCTGGGTTAATCAAATCCTCCAAACCCCTCACCTTAGCACAGTTGCCAGCAGCCTGTTAGCGCAAACTTCCAGTAAGGTTTTCAAAAAGATAAGAGCCAGCCTTGCTTTTGACCATGACCATAGGTTTAGTATGCCAAGAGTTACTTCTGAGATGTGTTATTTTCAAAAGATTATTGCAAGATCTTAGTTGCAAGAAGCTTGGAGAGACTCTATGAAACCCAACACGACACAGAACTCCCTTTTCTGTCCCTCCTGGTTGGAGACACCACGTCTCCCACTTGCAGGCACACGAGCTTCCTCCAAGGAAACATTCTCCTCCAAGCTGTAGTGGATGCAAGGGGGCACTTGGTTGCTTGCAAGTGAATAGCCAGACTCTGATGATGATTATTATTATTTTTTAAAACCTTCCCCTTCTTACACACTCGTGGAATGCCCCCAGGGCTGGCGTGACCTCAGGGAGCTGCTGCCTGCTCAGAGGCGTTTGCTTTTGCTGCAGGTTGTGCAGAGGAGGCCGGAGTCATCCAGGGTGTAGGGCTTGCCGGTCAGCAGCGTCTCACACTCCAGGCAGGCAAAGTGCTTCTTGTGCCAGGCCATCCCCTCGGCCTGCTGGTAGTCCTCTGAGAAGATGATCTGCAGGACAGGCAGACAATTGCTCATTTCCACCACCCCATCCAGGCAGAGCACGGCACAGGCCGGGAGAACCAGCCCCGTGCCTCCCACCCAGCCCGCCGGGCTGGCCCGGGAGACTCGGCTTTGGGAGGGGGTCAGGGATGCACAGGACTCTGGCTGGGCAATTAACTGCAGCCGTAGCACCATGAAACCATCCGGTTTTCAGTGCAGCTCGAGGAGGGTCACTGCTCTAAGGCAGCCAGAGCACAGCTGGCCCGGGCTGCCATAACCACTGGGGGAGG